TCATGCAGGCATGCGTAAAAACTCAGTCAACGTCAGTCGTTTCAGAGGCTGAAACCGGTGCGTCTCAGATGAAAAATTTAATAGCTTACAACATGTTACAATATACTTCCGTTCATTGTGTAGCAATACCTTGACCGGATACAAAATATTCCTCTCTTTCCCTTTTTAAAGGGAAACCGCATTTTAGCCTATTCCTAGAAATAACATTGACCTTAATGTAATAGTATAGTGAATAAATTAATCAAAGGGAAATCATTCTGAAAAGACTGCGTAGGATTTATTAGCTTATTTCAGCTTTTAGAAAAGGATGAGATGATTTAGTGCAAGTTATGAGAAATTATATACGGATTATACTCTCTCGATTATATCAAAAGTATAGTTTATAACAATAAAATAAATTGAATTGTGATATGTAAAAGAATAGTGGAGATGACAATAGTTCTACCCTGCTAGCATGCAAAGGTTTTCGTCCACATGAGATTTAGAATGTGAAAAGAAAGTCGTTTGCCCTGCTAAAATCGGGCGCGTTAACAAGCCAAAGTCTTTGCGAATGTTAGCGGCGCAAACAACTTTGTACATGCTAAAAACCACGCCAGAAAGAAACCTCCCAGCAGAGTACGATAGTTCATGCATGTATGTAAAATCTGTTTTTCTAATGTGCTTTTAACCATTTGTTTCTGGTACCAGTATTCAAGTCTGAGGTTAGCAAACTTACGTCAATGGGTGACGTAACGCCCTAAGTTTATAGGACCCTCAACAACTCTGAAAAAAGGCTTCTATAATTACGACCTTACATGTACTGTTTGCATGTTTAAGACCGAATACTGTCATTACAAGACAGTTTCAGTTGTTCTTAGTAAAAGAGAGCGACTTACCTAACACCTAAATAAGTTAAGAAATACACTCCCAGATAATCCGGTTCGATCCCTTGACAGGGTACCAAATAGAGCAAAAGAAGCCACAAAACTCTCTAATTTTATGAACCCGACCTTCAAAACAATATTCTACTGAGCACGAGACTTGTTTGTTTGTTTTTTTTAATTAGTTTTTATCGATAATCAAAAGATTTAGTTACTATTTTCTAACAACATCTGCGTGTATCTTAGTCAGGGGTAGCCCAAAATCCAATTTACTACACTAACACATGATTCTAAAAACGAGTACATCCTTAGTTTGTTGGTCTTTTCTTTTCTTGCTCTCAAAGGAGAAGCGAACGTTCTGAGAACATTTCCAGCTCCAAGCTAAGTAGGGCGAGAAATTTCCAGACAAAGCGTTTGTCATTATTCTCAATAATACTGAACGATAACTTTACAAGGACCAAATCCTCGCTAAATGCTTGAAGATCTCAAAACCGCTCTTGACCGGTTTTTTTTTTCGCTACTGGTTCAGGTTAGAATAGCTCAGCCAGCGGACATCACTTATGGGCAAACAGAGTTGACTCGAAAAGAAATTCTTGCATGGAGTTTATGGTCTTACATACACGGCAAAAAGATAGAGAAAAGAATTCGATCACAGGGGTAAGTTTGGAAAAAACTCTTGGCCGAACCAAACACTTCTCTCTCCCAACAGAGGCTCCGACTGTTAAAATAAAATAGGAAATAATTGCGCTTTGCACTAATGACGTCAAAAATTTCTGTTCCCTGCTGTGCCTCAGGCATTAAACCTGATCGGTATAAGAGTTTTGTATGGGAAAGTCACGTTCGCCAACAAATTTTTGTCGTCTTGAAGATTTTTATCGTTAAAAGAAACAAAATCCAGCTTGGTTTCGATAATATATATTCTGAAAATAATCAAGACAACGTTAAACTTGGAAAAACTGTACAGATGAGTGATGTTATATCTTATGCGGCGTCAGAATACTGTGGGTATGTTAAAATGTGTGGAGAGGAGGGCTTCAAAGCTGTTCACGAAAAGGTGCATTAGGTCAAATTTATAGGCAAAGGCTGCTCAATTTTTTTCGCGAGTGTTTATGTTGTGCTACTTAGTACTACAGGATATAAATTACTGTATTCGTCCCGGATTCGTATCAGTCGTCTGTTCTATCTGGCCACACAGCAACAGAACAAACTTATACAATTTCCGGTTTGTGCTAAAGCTGGTGTGCTTTTACGCTTAGATATTCTGTTACAGGCTTGCGAGAAGCACATACAAACTCGATTTTCTCTTTAGCAATTTCGGTTTTGGAGTATTACACAGCCAATAATGTTATGTCATGTTTCAGTGCACAGCGGTGCTTTCTTACAAGGACAGA